TTTCAGTCTGAATCAGTTATTGGATGCTGTCCGTGAATTCTGGCCCTTCTAGTCTTACTCGTTCCATCTCATAGGTACATCGCCGTCGCCAAAGGGCCCAAAGCACCGCCCCGCGTCCAAGTTTAAACATGTTTCCGGTGAACTCGTCCAGGCCGTCTACGGTCCATGTTTCGCAGAGCAGGGCTTTCCAGTCCCACGGCCATGGGGTTAGCGTTTCTAGCTGGTCCCAGATTCTGTCCCACCATCTCCATAGCCAGATTGCTCCGGGGCACTGAAGAAATATGTGCTCGATAGTCTCGGGTCTTTTCTGGGACGGGAATTTATCCGTGCATAGTCTGCACCAGGGTAGAGCCTTCCCCATTTGCTCCAAAAGTGTTCTGTCAATGAGCCAGTTGTTAGTCGGTAGACAGCGGTGCTCCAGCTGCAATTGCAGCGAAGCGATTTTCGCTGGTTTTTCTTTTGCTGTTTTGAACCATTTCACTTTCTTCAGGTTGTCTTTGCTTACGTTCAACTGTTTCATCCAGCGGCCCTCCACTTGGTCTCGCAGGTGGAATCTTGGTCGAAGTAGCCTATAGGCCGCCTTGACCGTTAGTCCATACAGGGATTTGGTGAATTTCCTGCCGGTCCTTGTGGGGGTTGACCATTTCCATTCCTCTGGGTCTAGGGGGAGTCGGTGCAGTGGAGTCTGCGGAACGTAGGCTATCAGTTGTTCTTTTTCACAGAGCACCCTGATTCGGAACAGTTCTTCTTTGTGGCACGTTATTGTTTCCGCTGGGTTCTTTTTCAGAATCTCGTTACTCAACTGTACTTGATGGAGCTCGACCATTGCTGTGTCATCCATGTCATATTGCACAATCTTGCCCACCTCTGGTCGTTCCTTGATTGCAACCCAGTCCGCTTTTTGCAATGTGGGGCCCTTCTTGAGGATTCGCCGCCACTCCAGGGGCACCATTTCTATTAGGCTCTCTAGGGACACCTCCAGGTGGTGGCTATAGCGTAGTTTCTCCCTTAGTTGCCCTGGGTTAACCCAGTCCTTGTTTTCCGTATCCCATATGTCTATAATCCGTGTTACTCCTTGCTGGACCCAGCATCGCCACGGGGAGTCTTCATAATGGAGGGTTCATCCCTGCGAGTCCACCACCCATTTGTTCCCAAAGAGGGGCTGTCGGGCTACCTCTTCCCATCGCTCCGGTGGAGTTTTGTCCGGGAGGGGGAGGCTCCTCCATGTACTGAGGAGGGACAGCCAGAACGGGTCCTTTCGTAGGTCTTCCCTTGCCGCTCGTCTGGCGGAGGTGGGAGGGAGGGTGTTTGGCCGCGACGATGTGCTTTTGGGGATGGAACATTGTCTGTTCTCCAACCACATCTGCGGGTCGCATTCGGCCGTTGTCCGTGGTGCCAGTCGGGAGATCTGCTCCAGGGCCAACCCCTTCCACGGGGTTTCTGGGCTGAACAGGAGCCTTTTGAGCCACTGTAGTGCCAGTGCTCTGGTTTGCAATGAGGGGTCTATGATGCCCAACCCTCCTCTCGATTTCGGCTGGATGATGGATTGCCATGCCACCCTACTAATGACGCTCCCGAGCTCATGGTTTCGTCGCCACAGGAAGGCAGCTAGCTGGCATTGCAAAGGACGGAGGGCTTTCTTGTCGAGCGCCCAAATGGCTGATTTGTACCACAGGGTTGCCAAGATGACATTGTTGATTATCAGTGCGCGCCCGAACAAGGAGGTGTGCTTATCCTGCCATTGTGTCATCTTTTCCAGGGGGGGCTTTTTTTTTCACGGATGGTCTGCCTTCTGTTGACATTATCACGCCCAGGACCCTGATGGGGGCTTCGTGGGGGAGCCATTTGACTTTAGGTTGTTCTGGGGTCTCGTACCCTGGTAGTGTATCCACCAACCTTGCGTCTTGTTTCCCCAGTTTACCCTCATGTCAGATAGTCTACAGAAGCAGTCCATCATATACTGGATTTCTTGCACTCGTCAAGTTGCAGCAGTTTTACACTTTCTCCGTTTCTCATGTGGGTGCATATGATAAGCCAGCATCCGTATTTCGCAGCTTCAAGTACCTTTCAGAGTGAATCCCGAAGTAAGCCTCGAAGCACAGATCTTAGCTGATGAAGGAAAGCAGGGTCCATTTTCCACTCTTGAGGTTTAAACTTTAAATGCATGCATCCTTCGGAATTGCCCGTCCTCATTCAAATTCGTCCTCCTTGCGGACGGTTTGCGACCGTGCGAAAGCGAATTTATGCGCGCAGCTTGAACGACCACTCCAATTGAATGAAATCGACGACCGTCCCGACTGCTTTGACCCTTCTGGTACCTCCTCCTTTTGTCCTGATCATCTACACCCCTTGCTGCCCGCACCACACGCTGGCGCCCAGCCACCTTCCTCTCCTTCTCAGCTGCAATGCTGCGCGAGCTATGCGCAAAGACCGTGGCGTAGAACAGACTCGACGTGCCCAAGTGACGGGCGGAGTGACGACGTGAGGTGGATACTTAGTCGCATGCATGCTGTTGGTTATGAGGGTTTATGGAGCTGAATGCTTTGTTGTCCAGGACGCATGAGTGTATGGATGTGGATGATAGTGCGGGTGTAAGGCACACGTGGACATGACCTTGGGGAGTGTTGGGGTATCAAATGTCTGCCTATATGCATGAGTGTGTCAATTTCCCCTCTTTTCCCCGACCCTAGCCGATCCCTGCGCTACGAGTGAGCGCAGGGGAATGTCACCGACTTTTCCCTCTCTCCCCTCGCGCGCACAAATGTCACGTGTTGGTTTGTCCCTAATTCATTTGGGCTGATTGTCGGCACCCAGGGACATCGGGCGCGGGCGTTTCTTCGACCCTCCTGATCCCTTGCTACCTGGCCATAGCCGTCTTGTCCTAGTGACGATCTTTGTAACTAACGACGCTGTGTCTCTAAACTTGCATTTTTTATAAGTGGGAGGGAGCGGGGTAAGGCCCTTGGAGATATGCATGGAGTCGAAATGCAAAACGCTGAATGTGAGCGCGGGTGATTACCCATGCTCAACCCTCTCGTCGATCTGGCATAACACCCGTCCGCCTTTCCCGATTGCAGACAAGGACAATGTGTACTGCCACACTGAGGTGCGAAGAATGTTGTTGCGGACCGACCGGGTTCATTTGTATAACCCATCTAAGGCTTCTCACATAGGAGGAAGTAGGTTTGTTCTGGTTGATCGGTTTCCTTCCCCATCCCTTATCTTGCCTTGTATTGAGTCGACAGTGCTGCCGTGGTCGGCTGTCCACGCCCCGTGGAAGACCCAGTTCTGCCCTGTTCAGCTGTTCCTGGCGAAGGCTGGTGCTGGGGTACAACAGTTCGGCTCAGTTCCCAAAACTCTCCCGCAGTGCGGGTGCCCTACCGGTGAGCTTCCAGACCTGGGTTCCCCCAGCCTCGCCCGGATTGGACGATGACGCTCTTGGCCGACCTTGTGAACTTGATGAATCTGACTCGGAGGCCTAGACGCCCTTAACTATTGGGTCCTTACAATAGAATTTGCGTGAACCCACGGTCTTCCCCTGAACAAAACGCACGTTCGTTAATTACGAATAGAACGCACGGGGTGCGTTCTATTCAAATATAACGCACATGCGTTATGCTACGGATACAGGGTACCAACTTTCGGGAAATGGGGCCCCAAAAAAAATACTACCCTGAATCCGTACTTATCCTTCGGGATTAGCATGGCCTCTGAGCAAGGATGACAGGCATAAATCGAGAAATAGTCCACATGTAAAAAGAAAAAAGAAAAAAGCACAACAGTCCGTCAAGAAACCAGGCGGGAGCGATAGGGTGGTTTGGTGTGTGTGTGTGTGTGACATGGGCACTTTGCCTACTACTGAGGCCACCTTCTTGTTCAGTTTGAAGATGAAACTTAGGAGGAAAGACTTTCCCGACGACATTTTTGATAAGGCCCTTGTAAATTTTAATGTCACGGTCGGAGGGGCCTGGATCGAATGGGTCAGATGTTTTACAAATTGGGCCTGTCTCTAATAGGGAAAGGGGTCCGAGCCTTTTTTCATTAAGACCTCGGTAGTTTTTCTGCATTTATGGTACCGGTTTTCTTACTCTAGGATTAGGATATATAGGTAGTCTTCACTTCTTTTTTTTTTTCTTTCAACCAAGCGCTACCCCTGAGGATGACCGGTTTACTGACGGACCGGCCGAAACACGTGTAGGGTAATCGTCAGTTGCGCTTCAAGTTGCGGCGCTTCGACGCTATTTTTTACCTGTCAGCAGCTTATTGTTAATTTTACGAGCTGACGCGCTTGGGGATTTCGCATTCTTATTCTTCTTCCCCTTCTTCTTCTTCTTCTTCTTCCTCTTCTTCTTCTTCATCTCTTCTTTCCACGTACTTTCCTACTCCCTTTGTTGGCCTGATATGTATCTCACATATGGCATGAATGTTACACGAGACCGGCGGGGGATGTTTACCCTGTCCGCGTGACTGTGTTCTTGCCTGTGTTCCATACCTTCCTTTAGTACTCTGTTCGTCGAATGTTGTCCATTTCTCTCTATTTCTTCCTCGTCCTTCTACTCCTTTCCGCCTATTTTTTCGCCTATCTGATCTGCGTCGGGTTGCTACTCGTAGGGCTCTTGCCTGTATTCGTTTGACGGGGACGAGGTAGTCCCAAGTACCAGAAGGATGGCGGATATAAATGGTTGTCATTTTTGCCAGCTTCCCGGCCACTTCATCCGGGAGTGCCCGTTTCGATTCAAACCTAATGGTGCTGAGATGGCGGCAAGGATACGTGATGGGGGGATGGGGGGATCGAATCGTGGTGACTCAGGCGGTATTCTGGCGGCACCATCGAATGGGGCGAGCACATCTAATGCGATCGTTCCTTATCAAGGGCCGCAGAACAGGGGCAACGGTGGCAGTAGCGGGAACTACAATGGCAACGGGTATTATAACGGAGGAGGATATAACAGTGGCGGCGGGTATGGGAACGGGCAGCGATATTCGAGGCCTTGGACATGAGGTTACAGGGATCGGGACCGAGAGTATGAGCGGGAGGATAAAATTGATAGGATGTATAATTTACTGTCAGAGCAGGTGAAAGAGCGGGAGAAGAAGAAGTTGGGGGATGCTAAGCTGGTTTCGCTGGAGGAGGAAAAGAAAAAGCTACAGATGGAGGAAGAAAGGAGGTTTCAAGCTAACAAGGATCGAGAGCTACAAGAGGCTAGGTTAGGAAAGATCGTGAGAACGAGCGTGAAAGAAGTTTGCGAATCAGCACTGGGGAGAAAGGTTGAGATTCCAGAAGATGACGACAACGAGGTAATCAAGCTTAGAAAGGAGCTTGAGGAGATACGGACCAAGAGTTTGGGGGATTCAAAAGAAGCACGCGTGGAGGCACTTCGGAAGGAGAAGGAAGCCCTTCTGAAGAAGAATCAAGAAAGCGAGGAGGATCGTTTGCGCAAAGATATAGCGGATCTGAGAAGGAATCAGGAGGGTGGGGAGGAAGATCGGCTGCGTAAGGAGATAGCGGAGCTGAAGGGTGAAGCTGGGCAGGGCAAAGCCAATGAAGGTGGACAGGATGCTATCATCGCCTTACAACTACAAATTAAGGAGTTAAGTGCTTTTCGGACGACTCTGGAGGAGAAGAACGTTGAACTCTGCACGCTGAAATCAGAGAATACGCATCTCAAGAAGGATGTCAACGACCTGCGAGATGAGTTCCTCACCCTAAGGAACAAGAGAACCGTGGGCGCAGTGATTGAGAGTAGTCCACCTGAAGAGCCAGCGAAAGGAAAGAAACGGGCGGTAGCATCCACTACGGCGATGTACACACCGAAGGATCTAGAAGCGCTGCAGAAAGCGTACAAGGCTGCACTGCAAGGGAAGGAGATGGCAATGAAAGAAGCCGATATGCTCAAGGAGCGTATGGCTAAGATGGGGGCATCCAGGATCCGTCTATCAGCTAGGAAGAGTGCGTTCAAGAAGATGACGCCGCGCAATCTTAAGACAAGTTTTCACGCAGTTGAGGTGGAATCAGATGACGAGAAAGGTAAGGAAGGGGATGCAGGCCGAGCTCGGAGCACAGAGGAAGTGACCAAAGATTTGGAGGTCGCCAAGATGACGGGCTTCAGGGATTGCCGATTGAAGGAGCTCAGACAGGCAAAGAAGGCGGACATGGAGGCAGCTTGTACAGATGAGGGTATTTCTTATATTAAGTTGGATCAGGCTAAAGCCGACGTAGCAGAGATCAGGGCTTCTCAAGACTTCACGGGATGGTTGAAAGAGAAGGATAAGCAGGAGGAGGATGATCAGCAGCAGCACTACGCCACGTCGACTGAAGAGGTTGGAGAAGACTGAGGGGACTCCCTGAGCGTGTCACGTCTTTGGGAGTTGGCCTTGTTTTGTCGGGATTTGCATGATGATCTACCTAGTAATCAGATTCAGGATATTTATCGACTTGTGGTGATCCTGCTAATTCTTCGAGGGGGTGTACAATGGTGTGGTAAGTTTCGTGAATCGTTATCGGCTCTGGTTAGTAGGAATTATGATTTTTCTTCCTGTCCGGATCATTGGTTGTACAAAACGATCTTTGATTTCCAGATGGAAGGAGCACGTAGCGTCCTCATTACCCCTGGGAAACATGCGGGGGAATCGGAAAGTGTATAGATGGTTGCGCAGGGCAGGGATTAGGAACTATGTTGCTATTCCCATCTGCACCTCGTCTTAACGAGATCTTCTTATTTTGGAAAAATTCTTTATTAATTCTGTTAATCCAGCGCTTAAGTCGACTTCTAGGAGCAGAGGTTTGCGTAGACCATGTAGGCCTGGAAGGAAGGAAAGGAGGAAGAGGAGTAGGAAAAAAGGTGAGTCTTCTCCTGTTGTCGTCTATTCTGCCAGCAGGTATGATGCTTTTTTTTTTTCGTCTTCCTTTGATACTGAGTCGGTTAGTTTCATCTCCGTTCTTCAGCGAGCCGTGGATCTTAGAATTCCCACCCCTTTTTTTATCACCGTCACTTCTGGCTCTTGCTTTGCGGAAAAATGGAAGCTGATCACGCGATTGTTTGGATGTTCTACGCTCTCTACTACTGGACTTCTTGTCTCTCTGCTGAAACACTGTCGATCCGGTTTAAAGTTGGTGCGTGTATCTTCGTCCATTCGATTTCACGTTTTTGTTCTCAAGCTCTAACTCTCAAAGATTCTCTGATTGGTCTTCTTTCTACCCCCACCACTCGGAAAGACCTGAAGGACTGTAGTCTCGATAATTTTATTAAACTCTACGGTGCTGTCCGAACTATCTCTTCTAAACACTCTCGTACTACTCTCAAGCTCGTTCTGTCAAATGCCTGTCGCAAGAAGTATTCGCTGTGTTTATCTGCTAGGTTAGTAATCAGGGTCAGATATGATGATGCGCTGGTCAAGGATAAGATTTGCGATGTGTGCAAAAAAATTATTAGGAAATTGGAGTTGCCATCTTGTTACTTGGATGTTGTTTGCCGCCGATTTAGGCTGGTTTGGACTAAGAACCGTAGTGTAGAGGACTTAATTCATAGTTACCGAAAGTTTTCTGTTGAGGGGGACCCATGTTGCTCTTGTATGGATGTCGATGAGGTTTTTCCGCGTGTGGGAAATCATGTGTCGTTTCGATTTAGTCAAGTAGATTTTCTTCCTTCCTTCCTTGATAACTCTAAGGATATTGTCTCTCCGCACTATTAATCCAATACTAAGCATCTTTGTCATCAAATTAATTCGTCACTTTCCAGTTTCTTTGGTAGGGATGTAGATGTAGCACCTTCCTTGATCCTGGGCTGCTTTTCCATTAATGATGCGGGTACAGGTTACATTGCGGAGAAGGAGGTGCTACGGGTTAAGAAACAATTCGATGGTCTGGTACTCTATCCGTTGGACCATAATGTCAGGGATACATATGCTTGTTGCCCTATAATATATGCTTAGGGCATGAGGAAACTTTTCACGGAAAATACCGGATTGCAGATAATCAAGGAGAAGGAGAAGGTTGTGTTGAACAGATGTAAAAAGGAGTATAAGTCAGGAAAATTTACTCGGCTTGCCCCATGGCTGGGTCGGGGGAGATTAGGCAGATCGTATGTAATTCCAAAGCATAAGGATATAAGCAAACGGAGACCAATATGTCCCTCTTGGTCTGAGCCATCGCATCGAGCATCCATGATAGTTTCGGCTTGTGTAAATGAATTCTTGAGACGACTACCCCGGTTTAGTCATTTCAACCTTCGGAGTACGCACCTGCTGCCCTCCTTCTTACGCACAGTCAATAAGGGAATTCACAGTGAGGATGGACTGTTAGCTGGTAGTTTCGATGTGAAGGAAATATTCTGCCAGTTGCCACATCCGACGATTGTAGCCGCAGTGGAATGGGCCATGAGTTTGTTCGAAGAGAAGGGTTTCTACAAATGTCTTGTACAGGAGAGGAAGAAACAGGTTAGATTAAGTAGGGTTGCTGTTAGTGAGGTTGGTTATAAATCTGTTCATTTTTCTTTATTAATTAGATATGTAGCATACGATTTATCCCGTACTTACACAGTGGCAATGTGGTCTGTTCTCAAACAGAATCTGGGTATACCTATAGGTAAATCCTCAAGTCCTGCTCTTGCTTGCCTTATGTGTGCTCATAACGAATTCACCTTTCTCAGAGGCTTGGGGAATGATGCCCGTCTGGTCAAGGGTTGCAGGCTGGTCGACGACGTTTTAATTTTCATCAGATACAGATACAATAATGTTGAGACCAAGAAGAAAGCAGCAATGATTTTATCCAGATTTAATGCGTCCTGTTACAACAGACATCTGGTTTTGAAAACTACTAGTGATGGCATGGAATGGCCGTACTTGGGCTGTCGCCTGCTCGTGGGGGAGAAACCAGTGAAGGTTTACTGTCAAGCTCTGCATAAAAACCAGGACTGTATCTTGGGCGGACAAGGGATTGCTTTTCATAATTTGCAGAATTTTAATTCTTTTTATAGCAAGCAGCAGAAAGTTATCGTGATTACATCGTTTTTTCATAAAGCGTATGACATGGGCACTTTGCCTACTACTGAGGCCACCTTCTTGTTCAGTTTGAAGATGGAACTTAGGAGGCGCTTCGACGCTATTTTTTACCTGTCAGCAGCTTATTGTTAATTTTACGAGCTGACGCACTCAGGGATTTCGCATTCTTCTTCTTCTTCCCCTTCTTCTTCTTCTTCTTCTTCTTCTTCTTCTTCTTCATCTCTTCTTTCCACGTACTTTCCTACTCCCTTTGTTGGCCTGATATGTATCTCACATATGGCATGAATGTTACACGAGTCTTAACTCTACTGTGTGTGTGTGTGTGTGTGTGTGTGTGTGTGTGTGTGTGTGTGTGTGTG